ATTTGTTGTTGTTTTTGCTGCTGCTGCTGCTGTTTCCAACAGCTGAAAAGCTGCCACCAGCTGATTGAGTGGGCTTTGAACATGCTTAGGAGTAATCTGGTGAGAAAGGCAGGATCAGTAATAGACATGTTTAAACTTGCTGATGGGTTCAAATGTAGGTTGCAGAGAAAATGTGAAATGTCATAGAAATCATCCCTCTAATTTGTTGTTGTTTTTGCTGCTGCTGCTGCTGTTTCCAACAGCTGAAAAGCTGCCACCCCATGTATGTTGTTGTTTTTGTTGCTGCTGCTGCTGCTGTTTCCAGCAGCTGAAAAGCTGCCACTCCATGTATGAGAGGATGTTAGGATGTCAAGAGAGCTAGGATAGAGTATATGGTGTGTGTGTTTTCAATCCGATGCACCACATAAGGTTGATGGTGTGGTGGATACTGACAACTGCCACCCCATGTATGAGAGGATGTTAGGATGTCAAGAATGCTAGGATAGAGTATATGGTGTGTGTTTTCAATCCAATGCACCACATAAGGATGATGGTGTGGATACTCAGTGTGGTGTGGTGGATACTGACAGAGTAGGATTCTGGAGATCTGGGTTCAAAACCCCACTCAGCCATGGAAAGTGACTGGGGTGTGGAACTGGTTAAACATGTATGAGAGGATGTTAGGATGTCAAGAATGCTAGGATAGAGTATATGGTGTGTGTTTTCAATCCAATGCACCACATAAGGATGATGGTGTGGATACTCAGTGTGGTGTGGTGGATACTGACAGAGTAGGATTCTGGAGATCTGGGTTCAAAACCCCACTCAGCCATGGAAAGTGACTGGGGTGTGGAACTGGTTAAACCGCGCCTTAAATATCTCAAAAACCCTGTTAGGGTCACTATAAGTTTGTGCGGACTTGACGGCACATAACGACAAGAAGGATGATGGTGGTCGTTTCAAAGTGGACGTTTCAGGATTTTGCTCAGTTCACATTCACAAGCCAGCCAACCTGATCTGTCCCAATGCAGGATTTCGGAAGAAAGTCTGTCCGAATTTACAGCTTTCCAAATTTTGTGGCGTTGTTCTTGACTAAACCCCACTCCCATCACTGTAGACCCAAATGCATATAAGATGTATTTCCGAAAAGATAAAATAAATCTGTTGAGAGCCAGTGTGGTGTAGCGAGTTCAGATCCATGCTTAGCCATGGAAACTCACCCGGGGTCCCCAGGTGTTCTTGAACTGCAACTCCCAGAAGACTTCACCACTACCTGTGCTGGCTAGGATTTCTGGGAGTTGCAGTTCAAGAACATCTGGGCTACCCAAGGTTGGGAACTACTGCTCTAAAGGGAAGCCTCCCAGTGAGCTACCTTTCCCACAGAGTCCTGGGATAAATCCCAGGAAGTAATGGAATGAAACAATGGCAGAAGAAAGACATCTCTTTCGCCTTCTGGTTTCCAATCTCTCTGTCCCAGAAGGAGAGCCGAGTTCAAATCTCCACGCAGCAACGGTGATCTTGGGCCAGCTGCCCTCTCTAAGCCTCGCCTACCTGATAGGGCTGTTGTGAGGAAAAAAGTAAGGAGAAGCATGCTTTACATCAGCTAACTGAAGGGAAGGTGGGACCTAAAGTGATAAATATACATTCATTAGCCATGTAAGTTGTGAGAAAATAAATTCAAAGTATTGTGCTTCTGATATGATTCGTCATATCTTGTTGTTTAATTATTGGCAGCTGCTTCGAACATTTTGACCAAGTGGAAAAGCAAAGGGACAGTTTTAAGCACAGCAACATTGTGAGAGAAACTGCCCTCAAGAAAATTCTGTCTTTACTCTTCCGAAATGGGAACTAAACATTTCCTGCCATTTTGACGACAATAACGGCGTCCAAAATGACGTCCAAACTGAACCCAAGAAAAAACAAGCCCTTTATTTGATTTTGATTTTCAAAGCTTTCGTTAACGAGCATTTCAGAGAAGGAATTAATAAACCAAACCAAAAAAAATCCTCAGTTCTCCCCACCAAAAACAAAAACAAAAACACCTTTTTAGATCCATTTTGTTGGTTAATTTTTTTGATAGGAAAACAGCCCTGAAACAAACTCACGACAACGCAACAAACACAGCGAGAACAGTGGCTTTCAAATTACCATCAGACAATTATGGCTTTCTCGTTGGGTGCAAAAGAAAGGGCTGTGTGATAAAACATAAGCAATCAAAAAACGAGTCTCTGATCTTGCTGATGAGCACAGAAGTGACAATTAATGTTCTCTGTTATGATACAGTTAGGATTTTTTTAAAACAAAAAAATTAAACATACATTTATATAACAAGGACTGTTACATTCAGATGAAATGTTTTTTTCAGGGAAAACGGAATAGTATATAAATGACATTATAAAATGTCTAGGAAATTCGCTATGGCCGAGGAAGAGCAGGCAACCATCCAATAAATGGATCGCACTAAAAAAGGAACAGAGAAATGAGGTCCGAAAGCCAATTCATCGCCTCAACCAGAGGAGACCCATTCAAACGATGGGAATTGCGCAAGTGATTGAGTGCTAAGCAATGGCCCGAAGGAGTGAACTCCAGCAACTAGACTTTAGTGATGGGGGCTTGTGGTCACTCTGATGGTTGCTGGGAGTTATTCTTCCTAACATTTCAGCAGTCTCTGTGGCCAGCATCTTCAGAGGACAGGAGTTAGAACTCTGTCTGTGCCCTGGTGCAGCTTGTGGGACAGTTGAGTATTTATAGCTGTGGGATCAGCTTTTGTCCTTTTCAGGAGATTGGGTGATTATGATGATCAGCATGTTTTTTGTTGTTGTGGGTGTATTGTTGTGATAAGGGGGAGAGATGATCTGTCACTGTGATTGATGGATGTCATTAGCTGGTCTTTTGTGTGCAGTGATCACCGGTCCTTGAGGCTGGGTAGAGGTCATTGACCCTTTGCAGGCTGTATTTTTCAGTGCTGGGAGCCAGGCCACTCTGACTCCATGGGCAGCAGTGAAGGAACCTGGCTCCCACTTCAGAAGTCCTAAAACTATGGGGAGGGAGAGATAAGGCACAGCACATTGAGTGGCTCCTCCAGACAGCTGGGATCCAAGCGATCTCAAGGACCGTGTCTCCCTTTATGAGCCTGCTTGGGTGTTAAGATCATCGGGGGAGGCCTTTACCTGTCCCGCCACCTTCACGGGTGTGTTTGGTGGGAACACACAGGAGAGGGCCTTCTTGGTAGCTGCTCCCAGAACTCCCTCCCACTGGAGGCCAAAACTGGTCCCATCTTAATGGCTGGCTACCTGAGTAGGGTTTTTAATGGATGGTTGTGCCTTGCTACTTTGAATGTATCTTTGGTGTTATCTTTGTTTGCCATCTTTTAGTCTGGTATCTGATCCTTTTTAGCATTTATTTGATCCTTTTCATTGTAGGACTGTTTTTAGCTTGAAACACTGTGTTTTAATGATGTAAGCTAAGGGTTCTTTTTAAGGAGAAAAGCAGGGTAATTTTTTTAAATAAAGTTCAGACCAAAAACCGAAGCAGAGTCTCCAGCCTCAAGTGACACAAACCGGGGTGGGTGGGAGAGAAGCACATGGTGACTTTCTGATCCAAAATAACCCACAAAACAACACATTTTTTTAAATTAGAGAAGTTAATTAATTTGATCCTAACACTGTAGGGCAAGAAAGAGATCCAGGACAATTAACTCTTTACAAAAAAAATTACATGGCGGGCCACAAAATCCTGATGGAACCTTCAGTTCTAAAAATCAGAAATTAAATAATCAAAGGGGAACTGCTGGATAGCCCAGGGGTTGAGGTCTCAGGCTGTGGAGCCAGAGGCTGGGAGTTCGATTCCCCCCGTGGGGTCTCCTTGAGCGGAGCTGGACTTGATCCCTAAGGTCCCTTTCCAGCTCTGCAGTTCTAAGATTTTTATTATTATTATTTATTAGTATGGGGTGCTAGCCTACATATCTAAGTCAGGAACACACAGGTACGTTTTCAGACCGCAAGCACACGGGGGAACTGTAGTTCCACAACAACACACATCGGCACACTTTTTGGTTATCACACAACACTTAGCCGAATGAACCAGGAGATCTACTCATACCTCCCATCTCACTATATCCATTTTTCTTGTGGGAAACCCGCTGCCCCTTAAAGAAAAAAAGGGGGGAGGCGAATTAGCAACACTGAACCATGCTAGCCTTCAACAATGTACATTTTATGCATATGTTTTTTAAAAAACAGTGAAATGAAGCCTGTGAAAAAATACACAGAAAGCAGGATCAGGACGCCACAGATGAAGTGTGTTTTATTCTCATCTCCTCTTGGGCCTCCCAGAAAGGAGGTTATAATGTCTTCTTCCAACCTATTTTGTTCTTTCGTGGGTTTTCCCCCCCCCTTCTCCTACAATAGACCTAAATCAAATCATGTATCACCAGCACCCCCACATGGACAGAATAGGGTCCATTCTCTCTTCTTTCAATGCACCTCTACACCCGATTGTTAAGATTACTGATCTATCATTTCTCATTCCCTTGAACCTTCATGATACTGCATTAAAAACGACACCGCCCTTCTCTGGACGATCAGTAAACCTTCTGTCACCCGCAATTGTGTAAACCCTTCGGACGATGCCTCCCCTCATTCACACCTGTCCCCCACCTAGATCTCGTGCCTAAGAAGGGAGAGGCCGTCTCCCTCGGCTTGGGTGGTGGTCATTCCACCCGTCCTACCTCACAGGGTCACCGTAGGATAAAATAGGAGGAATTGCTATTTCTGTCACCCGCAATTGTGTAAACCCTTCGGACGATGCCTCCCCTCATTCACACCTGTCCCCCACCTAGATCTCGTGCCTAAGAAGGGAGAGGCCGTCTCCCTCGGCTTGGGTGGTGGTCATTCCACCCGTCCTACCTCACAGGGTCACCGTAGGATAAAATAGGAGGAAGAGCTATGAGAGGTAGGATGCTGATAAAACCAGTAACAATGAATAGGAGAATAGGAGAGATCTAATGCTATTTTTGCTGATAAAACCAGTAACAATGAATAGGAGAGATCTAATGCTATTTTTACTTACTTACTCACTCATTCACCTCTTTGAACCTCCCTGCAGAAGAGACAGCGCACAGATAAGAAGCATGATGGTCATAAAATGCAGCCATAACAAAGGGTCAAGTTGAAGTCAAGCATCACACTTATCAGAATTAAACAGTGGTCAAACTGTGGATACCTAAATTTAGAAGAGCCCCCTGTGTTCCTCCCCAATAATCAACCATCTCAGAACCCCTCTGAGGATAGTGAACGAAAGAAGATCGATCCATCCGGTACTTTGGTTCTGGGCCCTACACTTCAAAGTCAGAAGTGTTACGTGAGTACTGTACATTATGATAGATGTCTCAGTAGCTGTATGGCCATGTTTCGCACCGGTGGCCGTTTTCAAGGGCAGCACCATGTAAAACGCACTGCAGTAGTCCAGCTGCCAGTTTCTACTCCATGAAATTCCTCCTTCTGTCATGAGCTTCCTTCTTGCCTAGATGTCTTCTTGACAAAGGCTGCAGACTCAATGGGAAATGTTCCTACAGTTACTGGGTTACTCTCCCTACATTTCTGTAAAAACTTCATGGTGCTTTCATTTTCTGCCTACATATTGAGTGCAAAAGAATTGCTAGGAGGGAAAAATGAAAGAAAGAAAAGACAGATAGACATTAGGAGAGTTTAACTGATTCCAAGCTTTTTGTTTTGCTTTCTTTCTCAAACGTGAAATAAACCAAGAACTGGTTGATTCAAGAGCAGAATTACTTACCAGCTGCAACGGAGACATTTAAACATTCTATCCCAGCCTCTAACTCTCTTCCTGGAGGGATGGTTAGCATCCTGTGACATAAACTTCTTATCTCTGGAGAAAGCCCAGAACCTTCATTTCCTACAAACACAAAAATCACTATTTTAGCCATTTTTAAAAAATCAGTTTTATCCATAAATATCATTTTTCCCCAAAAATAAGTATTATATTGCTGTAATTGGAGGCCTGCACTGCGAGAAAACCAAAACACAAAAAATTAACACAGAAAATGCCATTCACCATGTCATCTACAGACAAAATAATTTGTGAGGAAGACATATTGAATTATAACTCCTAGGATTTTTGTGGGAAGTCATGATGGTCTACACAGGGTTGCAGCTCCCTCACGATTTGGTCCTGGAAATTTTAGAGGGCAGCATGATGTGTCGGAGAAGACACTCGAATAATTAAAATTAAATCACCAATAGGATTCCGGCCATAATTTTATTTCTTTTAGGCCACCTTTCGCCAATGTAATGAACATTTATGCTAAAATAAGTTCTAATATCGAAACACAATTAAGCCAATTGGTGGCTGGAATTGAACCAACAGCGAACTTGTGGATGGCATCATTCCTGTTACTGTACCCAGGCACGACAGGATTTCAGCCCTCATTACTGAATTAAGGGTGAACTTTTTTAAAAAAAATCATAACTGTGCCTGTGCCAAAGACATCAGATTATTTCATAACTGTGGGGGGGAACAGGCCGACAGCTATGGGGCAGAAGAGATTTTGCAGGCGGCGGATGCTTTATGATCCTCCAAATTGCACTCGTTTATTTACTTCAGTCCCTCAAATTCTGCCACCGCGACGTTCTGTGTATACTGACAGAGGCAACATCTTCCCAAATTCTCTTGCACTTGACACTGTTCAATTTTCTTTTCGGCTAAGAGTTAGTGCTCCACAGAGAGCCAGCACCGTGGATGGAGGGAAAAACAAAAAGCCGAGGAAAATCTTTACATGAGCCTCTACCAATCAGCCTCTGCTCTCCCTCCACGGAAGAGATTATTCGGATTTTCTCGCAGAGAACTCCCTCGTCCTTCAAAGTAACGACGTCGGCTGTCACCACCTCGCTCGAGTTCCTACTGACGCCCTCCTTCCCGAGATGGATTTCTCCACAGTCCATCATCTGCCCCATCTCTCCCCCCCCCCTTTGGCAGCAGTCCCATCGTCTCTGTAATGCAAAGATACCCCGTCCTGCAGAAAGACGCAATTTCCTGTCAGTGGTTCCGCATGCAATGAACATTTCAATTCAAGATGAGGCTTCCTGCATGGGGAAACAGGGCCATGGGATGGGAATTACAGCCCCATCAGAAAGAAGAAGTAAAAAACCAAATCACCCTCTGCGCCTTCCAGGTTGATGACAAACAGCGGCCGGCGTTCAGCCGAGGAACACCTGCCTTGCTGAAGATAAAACACCAGAACATTTATTTGAATAGAGTGGCATACAGATCTTCCAGCCTGACCTGTAGGTTGATTTAGGGCTTTGGAATGTACCCTGCATTGCCTGGGCCCCGTCGGATTCATCCGGGCCCGGCATTTGAGCCAATCTGTAAGCCTCCTACTCCCATGTAATAGTGGGCTCAAGCCACAGGAAACCAGATTGAGGCTAAGTATCAGGGAAAACTCCTTAACTGTTAGAGCAGTAAGACAACAGAACCCATAACCTCGGGAGGGGGTGAGCGCTCGATTGCTAGAGCACTCAAGAGAAAACTGGACAACCCTCCATAGGATCTGCTTTGATTTGGAGTCCTGCCTTGAGATGGGGAGCCAGACTTGATGGTCTTATAGGCCCCTTCCAACTCTTCTATAATTCTATGACCCGACACGGGGAAACGAAAACGGCTGTAACCTTTTCCCGGTTTTGCACGGATGAAAATGGGTTTTAGAAATGGGACAGGCCCTCAAAAGGGCAGGAGCCCTGCTGAGCTTCAAACCACGAGCTTCAAGGGTTTGTACCTTTAAAATTTTGCTTTAAAGGAAAAAAAGCTGAAGCAATTTGAACCCACTCTGATTCAGTCTATGCTCTGGGTGATAAATCGGCATGTAAATCCACTTCATTATAGCCCAGAAATAAATTCCACTCCATTTCAGATCTCATACAGAAATTGATCCAAATTAGCCTGATTCTGTTCAGAAACTAGGGTTTGTCCAAATCCAGAAGTTTACCCTAGTTTTGACTACGCAAAGGTCCACGTTAAGCCTTGATGCAGACTCGTCCAATCTCCTCCACAAGAATCCCGATTCTCCCTGGTGGATGGTACCTTTCAGGCATCCCTGGCTCGGATCCCATCGGATCAGGCATCGGATCACCCCCCCCCCCCCCCGCCGTGGCCTCAGAAGGACCCTTCGGAAGGGTCCTTCGAAGGCCACCGCAGGCATTTTCCCCCAGCTGAGTGGTGGGAGCGCTCCTTTGGAGGCTCCCGCCGCTCAGCTGGGGGAAAATGGTACCTATGGGGAAAACATCGCAAAGCGATTTTTCCCCATAGGCACCTTCATTATACGATCGCAAAAGCGATGGCATTTTTGCCATCGCTATGCGAATTCATCGTTAAACGGGGCACTCGTTATACGAGGCACCACTATACCTTTACAATTTTGCTTTAAAAGAAAAAAAGCTGAAGCAATTTGAACCCGCTCTGATTCAGTCTATGTTAAATTGGCGTGTAAATTCATTTCGCTATAACCCAGAAATAAATTCCACTCCATTTCAGATCTCATACAGAAATCGATCCAAATTGGCCCGATTCCGTTCAGATACTGGGGTTTGTCCAAATCCAGAAGTTTACCCTAGTTTTGACTACCGCGAAGGTCCTAGTTTTGACTGCCGTTGAGCCTTGATGCAGACTCGTCCAATCTCCTCCACAAGAATCCCGATTCTCCCTGGTGGAATGGATCCCCTGACTCAAGATACAACCAATGGGACGCAGAGACTAAAAGGCTGGTGGAGGTCACAGAAGAAGGAGAACTTTTGGAAGTTCCTTTTTTTGAGATCAAAAGGAGCTCGTATTCCCTCCACCCAGTACAGGATGGATATTACAGTCCCTTCTGGAAAACACAGTTCCTAAGAATAATTCTGCTTCCAGATCTGGACACTTCTGGCAGCTGTAGCCTTAAAAAGGAACTTGACCAAGATCTGAAAGAGAGCCAAAGCATAAAGCAATATTCCCCAAAAGGCACTAGGCCATTTTTAATTCTAGGACCGTAACTTCCATTGCTCCTAGCCAGCACAGCCCACGATGATGGATGATGGGACCTGTGATCCCACACTACCTAGAGGGCTACACGTTACCCATCCCTGGGCTAGACCGGTTTTAAACACCACAATGGTTTACCTACCCAGCATCAACACCGTGGGGCTTGTCCAGCGGAAATCTAAGCAGCTCACGATGGGGATGTCATCTGGGGGTCTCTTGGCCCCGACGGTGCCCAGGATCTCCCAGCCCTGATCCGATTTCGTCTTCCAGGGAGAAGAGTTATGTGGGGGGGGGGAGACAAAGAAGTCAAAAGAAAAAGATAAAAGTTTCCCCAAAGTTTACACTTGGCCGCCTTTTTTACAAACAAGCTACAATTCTCTTATTGAACGCAGCAAAGAAGGAAAATACGTCCATGGTTTATTTATTGAGTAAAGAAATCAACCTTTTTTTAAAAAAAAAAATCATAGTCTAGAGAAGACTTTCTGTGTTGCAGCTTTCCTCGGCTCCTCCTGACGTGGGATTCTGAGTCCAAGAATCCTCCACTGCTACAGTTAGAGGAGCCTCGACTCATTTGGAAGACTCCAGAAGGGCACAGGCAGCAGACCTGGGACTCTGGACGTTTCAGACGCGGAAAATTAAGCCACAGCCATCAAAGCTCGGGAAAGGGAACGCCAGAGTAGAATAAATGGAAGGTGGAGGAAGACACCATTTAAAGGGGAGGAAGACACCATTTAAAGGGGACCAGCATCTGCTGTATCAATGTAAAGACAGTACTGTAGGACCTTCCTATCCATGGGATCAGTATCCACGGATTCCCTTATCTGCTACCTGAAAATACTAACACATACACCCCAAATACATATTTATATGTACTTCCAGGGTGTATGTACCAGAACTGGCCATTAGAGGGAGTCAGAGACCATGCAATGTATAGTGTTCAATACATTCACGTTTTTCGGCATCCACAAGGGGCAGGGTTGGAACTGATCCCTCCTGCAGATATAGTGGTCCTACTGTATTTATTTCCAGTGTGCTGGCCTCAATGTGTGTCAGTGTGAGATGGACAGAAGGCTGAAACTGGACCAGAGAGACCCCAGTTCAAATCCCTGCGGCCTGTGGTTTTCTCTTTCAGACTGGCCTACCTCGCTGGCTTGTTGTGTTTGATTTTTCAAAAAGCTATACTCCTGGCATACTTGGGGGAAATTAAGAAATGCTTTGAGAAGCTATACTTGTCTGTCTGTCCTGACCTCAGCAACTGGGATGTGTCTCCTTATCCAAGCTTTCCTAAGAATGGTACCCTATAAACCAAGACCGGGCATCTTGTTGGGCCCAAGGGTTAAACACAATTTTAGGGGGGGGGGGTCCCTTCCCCTGGCAGGCATGGCTAAAGGGGAGGAGCCAACAATCCCAGATTATTTTGGTTTAATGCTCCGGCTGTCAGGAACCCAGCCTCTCTGGCACAAATTAAACCTTAGGAAAAGCACGTGGAGGCTTCCAAATGAGGAAAAATCTGTACAAAAATGGGAAATGATGATGCTGTTCCAGAGACAGGCTAACAGCCATCTAAGGAACTTAGTAGTTGATCTCCAGCCTTGGACCCAAGATATTGTTGTACTTATGTACTCATCATCCCCAGTCAGCATGGGGACAATAGGAGCTGTAGTCCAAGAACACGGCAGGGTTCCTACCTTCTATATTAAATCTTTCATCCAGAAGAAAGCAAACTTTGGGACCTATTCCTGCTGTCAAGGCTATAATCAAAAAAGTATATAGCGGAAATCCAGAAAGCTGGACTTTTTCCACCTCGTTTCGACCCAAGAAGGCAGCTCTTCAATCTTATTATATATATTTATGCTTCCAGTTCATTCATCGGCGCACAGGGTGGTGTACCCAATTAACTACAAAATCCATTTTAGCTCCCCAAAAAAGGTGGGATGTGAAATCTTGGCATCCTAACTATCTCATTTTCTGAAAAATCGGCAGTTTTGCAGGCCATAACCATGTCGAAATTTATACCCACGAAGTGGCAGAGGTTAAGCTGGCCGATGTGGACCCAATTAAAGAGACAGCCCAAATGTTCATAAATTGTACTTTATGGTAAAGGAAGTGAGAAGCGCGGATGTTTCAATTAAGTAGCAACACCCTTTTTATGGGCTCTTTATTATGTCCTCGCAAAAGGAGGGAAGAGGGCTGGCACAGATCAGACAGAAAGTAGATGTCTGGGCGGTCAGATAAGTAGATAATGGCATTACAGTACTGTATTTCCTTGAAAATCAAACCGTGCATGGACCTCTCAGGCTTTCAGGACTGTCTTACAGTCTCCTTGGCGCTTCGTTATACATCCCAGGTGTCCAAATTTAACAGACAAATGCTCCTCTGGTCATATGGTTTCAAATCCTGCTTTCATTTTGCCCCCCCACCCCCACCCAGATAGAATTCAAAATATTTCAAACGTCTTGCACAATGCTGCCATCATGTGGCCAAACAGTGGTCTCTTTCTTTTTGTCTATCCTCCCATGCTCAGATAAGGATATAAAAGGGGACTTGCTAGATAAGGACATTGGTTTCCCCTGGTCAACAAATAGTAACAGCTCTGAATCTGTTATTATGATTACAATTATTAAGATTACAATGATGATTATTAAAAATATAAGACACAGTCTTTGAATGGTATTATATAACAGATATAATTTTTAACCCAAAAACTAAGTATCAATTAAATAGTGGTGCCCCGCATAGCGACGATGATCCGTGCCGAAAAAATTGTTCCTATCCAGATTCGTCGCTATGAGGAGGGGTGGTGCCCCGCATAGCGACGATGATCCGTACCAAAAAAAATTGTCATTATCCGGATTCGTCGCTATGCGGGGGGAAAAAACCCATAGGAACGCATTAAAACACGTTTAATGCGTTCCCATAGGGGAAAAACTCACTGCTATGCGGAAATCCTCCCTCCGGCTGCCATTTTCGCTGCCTGGTAAGTGAGGAAAGGGCACAAAAACACTGCGGGCAGCTATTTTTTCCCCTGGTGGCCATTTTGGAACCGCCGATCAGATGTTTTTAAAACATCGCTATGCGAAAATTGGTAAGCGAAACGCTTACTGAACATCGCAAAGCGATGTTTTGCCATATAAAACATTGCAATGTGATCGCTTTTGCGATCGCAAAAACCTCATCGCTATGCAGATTTGTCATTAAACAGGGCACTCGTTAAGCGAGACACCACTACATTGTGTATGCCTTTTTTTGCATTTCTGATGGTATTATTTCAGAGCTCTCCAGCTGATTATAATATTATATAAAATTACACAGCCTTGTTCCCAATGCCTCAATGACTGTGAGGACCCGTGAAATGTGTTTCATCCACCAGCAAGTTATTATCCTTCTATTATTGTGACTATTACCTTAAGAAAGCTGTGAAGGTCGTCGGTGGCAAACACATCTAAAACTTCCATGGCCCCAGAACTGGCTTTGCTGACGACAGGTGTCAGAGGGCAGCTGTGAGGAAAAGCAGAAGGGTGTTAAGACATCTCCCCAAACTCACCCCAAATGTTATCAATTCACAGTGAAGCAGGGGTGTAATGCTCATCATGGCATATCCCCCACTACAATGCCCACCAAGAGATTCCCAAAATGCCATTGGCTGGATGAACCAATCAGTTGTCACAACTTTCAGCTCTGAAAGAAGCAGGCCTTTTGTAAAGCTAATGGCTCTTCCTTGCCATTCAAGACCCAACCACCCCTAGGCATCTGCTCTTTCAGCTTTTCAGGGCATCCCCTTGAGGATGACTTCCAAATTGTGCTTGCCCACCCACTTATTCTCTGATGTTGATGAATGATTTATGTTTATTGGTTTGACTTGCTTTCTTATATTTCCTTTATTGTTGTTATATTACTTCTCTGTTAACTGCTCAGAGTAGTGCTTCACACTAATCAGGCAGGACAGAAGTTCAAGAAATAAATATATAAATAAATTTAAATCCCGCTGCTTTGAACGCCTTTCTCCACAATCAATACTGCAAGCATTTTTTAAAAATAAAATAAAATTTATGGTAGAAGAAGATTCTGGGAGACACCTAAAACCTGGTGAAAATTTCCCAATTTACATCCCACCTTTCCTTAAATGCATGCAAGACAAGCCAATCTTCTGACCCATTTGTCTTCAGTAGAACCTTGTGAGGTAGGGTAGGCCAGCTCAAGACCCTTGGGGTGAATTCCAGGGTTCAGCAGCCGTCTCCCAAGTCCCAACTCAGCAGCTTTCAACAGCAGTCAAAACTAGAAGGTCCCCCCCAAAACTCTTTATATAAGAATATCAATAAATAATACTCTGGAAAGACTGACCTGTTTTTCTGACTCATCACAATCCTGTCGACACCCAGGAAGTGAGCAGAGCGCAGGATCGCCCCCAGGTTCATGGGGTCTAATATCCTCTCTAAAACTAGCCAGAGGAGTTGGGACCCTTCGCTCACGGTGGCGCTCTCACTCTGGAGGGGCGGCCCTTCTTGCCAGCCAACGGGCTGAAGGGGCGTGGCTTCCAGGCAAACCCCCTGATGAACGCCGCCCTTGCAGAGGGCATTCAGAACCTTCCGATTGACCCACTTCGTGGGAATCCCACGGTCCTGGGCTTGCTGGGAGAAGTCCATCATGGCGGGAGAGGCGTCGCCTTTGCTCACCTTAAGGAACAGCTGGAAAAAATTCCTCTTTGACCTCTGCAGGGCTAAACTGCAAGGAGCAAACCCGAATAGGATCTCCGAGCCTTCGGTCCTTTCAACAGATAATGGAATTTGCTGGATCCGTCTCTTCTTCCGGGGGAAATCATCGTTTCTCAAGTTCACAAACTCCTCGTTGCTGGGTGGCGCGTTCTGTTTACGAAACTGAGGCCAGAATTTCTTCGCTGGAGTGCCGTCCGCATCGGTCTTCAGAACGGGATGCGATTTCAAATCCGAGTGACTCTCTTCTTCCTGTGTGGCCTCTTGAGGCCGCGGATCCTCCTGCAAGGAAGTCACTCCTCTCCCATCCCCTCTGCTACGCGGCTTGCGGGCCACCAGTAGTGGCTTTCCCCATCCTGAGAAACACCGGACCGTCCTCGAAGGGCGGTGGTGAGGAAAAGCAGAAGATAACCTCAGAGCATCCCAGGAGGCCAACCGGACATACTGCAAAGGTCCCATTTTTCATCCCATCAAATCCTTTTATTCACTGTGTGCTCTGTTTAAAAAGAACAATCATGATGAAGTTGGTCAAAGCATAGCATAACGTGGTTTTTCCAAATTATGAATTTATCATTTGAATTTATAAACTTTATATGTTCAAGTAATTTGAATTTGAACATATTCCTGGCTTCCTTGAGGAAGCCTGATCCAACCGACCGTCCTTCAAAGGTCCTGGACTACAACTCCCATTATTCCTGGAGATGACAGAAGTTGTAGTCTAGTCCACTGCGGGAAGAAGGCTGCGGGTTCTGGTTCAAGAAGCCTTCACCATCAGCTCTGCTGGCTGGGGTTTCTGGGAGTTGCAGTTCAAAAACACCTGAGTAATAAAGGTTAAGAACCACTGGTCTAGTCCACTGCGGGAAGAAGGCTGGGGGTTCTGGTTCAGCATGTCTGATTTGTATTTAGTAAACGAAACATGTCGATGGTCGGCCAAAGGAAGCCCAAGAGTTCAATGGCACTTCCTCCCAGTTCAGTGGCTGCAGGCTGAGCCACCATATCTAGCCCTGGAAGATATGGCTGTGATGGATGGCGCTCTCTTTCTCTCACCCCATCGACCTCAGGGATGACTTCCTCCCAGTTCAGTGGCTGCAGGCTGAGCGACCATGTCTAGCCTTGGAATATATGGCTGTGATGGATGGCGCTCTCTCTCTCTCTCACCCCATCGACCTCAGGGATCGGCAACTACGGCCCTCCCCATGTTCTGAGCCGGATTCTCCTACAGGGACCCCAAAGATGCCGCTGCTTCCTGGGGATGATGGGATTGGCAGTCCAGCCGCCCTCAAAAGCTCCAGGCTGTACATTTTGCAGCGGTCTCACAGGGGTCATTAGGAAAAGCCTCGCAGCCGCAGCAGCATCCTCTCCTACTACCAGGTTGTTCCAAGACATACCCAGTATCCTAACGCGTGTCCTGTACGTGTGAATGCGGTTTCCCTTTTGGGTAAACTAAATTTCTAGAAGACCCGTGAAGATAAGAAAGTTTCCCCATAAACTCTGATAAAACCCTGGGAATCTTCAACCTTGGCACCTCTCTGGCCCCACAGCCGTAAATGCAGCTCAACACCTACCGGGTAATCCACGTGGGCTCCCTTTCAGCGCGACCGGAAGTGCCTCTGGCCATAGAGACGAGGCAGAAGTCGAGAAAGAGCGCCCGCGAGCGAGCCCTTGTTCTACAGCGCCACCAGCTGAGCGCTATCAGGAGCGGTAGCCGTGTTAGTCTGCAAGCATATCAGGCAAAATTCAAAGAAACAAATCAAAGTAAAACAAAACAAGACAAAAATATATATGCCATTTTAAAGACTATTATATTTTAATGTGAGCTTTCGTGGACAAGTCCACCTGGTCAGACATAGAGAAAAAATATGAAAAAGTATTTCATCCAACATTTCATCCCCCCCGTATGTCTGATGAAGTGGACTTGTCCACGAAAGCTCACATTAAAATATAATAGTCTTTAAGATGCCACTGGTTTTTGCCTTGTTTTGTTTTACTTTGATTTGTTTCTTTGGATTTTGCCTGATATGCTGGGCGGTAGACACTCATTTTGCTGGGGATAAGTGAATCAGTGTACAGTATACTGAAAAGGGTGAACCCATGGAGTTCAATTTTATCTCTCCTGAGCACTTTCTACTGCAGGTCACAGATTCTCAGCTTAGCAGGCTTACCATACGAGAATAACAGTGGACCACCTTATTAGACTATTGTAGTGATTACAGAAACAATGTATGCAGACATTTGTTGAGCATTCTTTTTCCTTGGGAGCAGCCCCAAAGAATATAGTGAAACTGGCTTTCTGAATGATGATGATGATGATATGCTCTCAAGTTGATTCTGAATGGTGACCCTTTTCAGGGTTTTCCAGGTAGCAATACACAGAAGTGGTTGATTCTTCCCGGGGTGCCCTGAGTCTGTGCAGTTTGCCCAAGGCCACCCGGGCTGGCTCTCCTCCTAACGGGAGGGTCAGTGGCGGAATCGAACTCACAACTTCTGGCTCCACAGCCAGAGCTCTAACTCACTGAGCTACCCAGCCAGCTCTTTGTGAATAAGCCTGCACTTAATGGTCTCATAAGATGCTATACTGTGCAAACTCGGTGGGTACTTGTAGCAATCAGAGAAAAAGAAAAAGCAACCTCTGGCTCCACAGCCAGAGCTCTAACACACTGAGCTACCCAGCCAGCTCTTTTTGAATGAGCCTGCACTTAATGGTCTCATAAAATGCTATACAAACTCGGTGGGTACTTGTATCAATCAGAGAAAAGGAGAGTGTGTGTAAACAAAGAAGATTGATTGTAGACATTTCTCCCTTTGTTTTTATTTACAATTTCCCATTATGAAACATATCGGTATGTCATATCATTTCAGGGGTGCCAAACTGCCATCAGGCAACCTGTCTTTGAGGGGGTTTGTGTGTGTATCTAAACACACCTGCTCAGTTTATTCCCTCTATGGTTATTTTTATATATATATATACATATATAGCAGGGCAGAATGAGGGGGTAACATCCAGGTTTTCTAACTGGATCCTCAGGTCAGCATTTAGCAGAACTGTTGGTATGTAAAAGACAGAATAGTACATGGAAGTATGGAGGGTTGGGTGTAAAGGTGTAGAATTTCTGAAAATTTCTATTTTTTTCTGGAAAAAGAACAGAGAACAAAAATGTTTTTTTTTACCAGAAAAAAAATGGAAATTTTCGGAAATTGTACATCTCTAATTGGGTGGAACAGCCAGTGTGGTGTCATGGACAGAGTGTCGGATTAGGAACGAGGAGACCCAGGTTCAAATCCCGCTCAGAAACTCCCTGGAGAGTAGCCATGGTGGGCCATTCCTTGAATATTTCACATGTGTTTCCTGGGGATAGACAGAGCCAAAGATAAAAAGGATGAATCCAAAATGACTAATATATTATGTCCTAAACATCTTGCTGGTTGTAGGAAGTGGCATTTCAACCTGTATAAGGTGTACAAAAGTTGAGGAACCAATGAATGATATTATTACAGGGAAAGGAACGTCCTAAACATCTTGCTGGTTGTAGGAAGTAGCATTTCAACCTGTATAAGGTGTGGGAGGGAATGTACAAAAGTTGAGGAACCAATGAGTGATAATATTACAGGGAAAGGAATGTGGCCATCTGAGGAACTCTGGCCAGATTTGGCCCCAGAGTCTGATGTTCCACACCCCTGAATTGTTTTTTCCTGCTGAATGCCCCAAACAAAAAGAAAAACAAAATTCCTCACAGCTCTAGTTTGGGAATCTAACAACATGGATAGTCACAACAGTTTCCAACCCGATTTTCTCCATCTTTGCTCTTCAAGATTGCTGGAGGCATCCCTTCCGTCTGGTTGTGCAACCTCCCTTCTCCTGTGCTGGAGCGCACAACCAAAGTTAGTGAAAAAAAATACTTTTTAAAAAAATAGTGTGAAACATACCTACGCAACTCTCATAAAGACACTATTTCTCTCCACACCCTATAATTTATAAGAAAGGAATAAGATACTATTTCCAAACAGTAATGCTTTTAGCTGAATGTTCACAGTATATAATAGCTGCAACCACTAGTTCATATTACCCAGAAAGGGACAGATCCACATTATGGATGTTAAATCATTGTTCCCTCTTCCCAAAGGATCCTGGGAAGTGTAGTTTTGTGAAAGGGGAAAGTTTCCCCAGAATGTTTTTTTTTTTAAAAAGAGAGACAGATGGAATATTTGATATGAAGATTGAAGTGTAGAGCCACTGGACAGGTATTAAGGGGAAAACTCAGCCTCTAGTATTCCCAAAACAAACGGTCTTTGCAGGAATCATTATATCCATGCAGGAGGAATTGAGATACTGACGCCTGGGACGCATTATGCAAAGACAACAGAAAAAAAACAAAAAAGGACAGTAGAGACAATTTGTGTCCCATTTAGTTGTGTTGGGACAACCAGGTGTGTCAACGAGAGAGACACAGGATTGTTGGATAAACTGCTCCACAAACATCGCCACAGGTCCATCTTGTGTTGAATCTCCATGACATCACTTCTTGACGAGGACAGTGTGTGTTACAGGGAGTCCGTTCTGAAGTCGACTCCAGAATTAACTTCAATTTAAGGAATGGAACCAAGTTATACAGTCCCCAACAGGCAACCTCGGCAACTCTCTGTTCTGAGTTTACCCCCAAATGAGTGTCGGGTTAGAAAGAGGAAAGTAACGGGGAAATACGGTATTCATTCTTCACCTGCGGCCCTCAGAACGGCCCCAGATAGCTGAAGAAAAAAACCCCATGGTCGAAGGGTCTGTCTCTCTCCCTCTCGCGGCACAGAATCGAGTGCGAATCTTCCACTACGACACCTGCTCGGTCGGCCTCATTTGAATGTCACCGATCTGAAAAAGACCATTGAACACTCGAGCAGTCAGTTTGTCTTTGTGAGGCGATAAAGAGAAAGCCTGAAGAACAACAGGAGGTTGGTTTTCTCCATTCGGTGAGAAGCTTGAGAAAGTTGGAGGGGGGGTTTAGATTGCCGTTCCCAGAATCTTAGAAATTCTGGGAGCACTCGTTCAAAAACAGAATCCAAAATGGCATCCAGAAATGTATAGTTTACAGTCTCCCATCTGGGGACTCTAAAAATCTTCCAAGCACATCCCCTTGGCACGCTTTCAGAAATAACAAAATGTGCCACAGCCGTCTCTTCCCAGTGTTTTTTTTTTAGCCACATCCATGACCCAAAGTATTTCACTGCCTGAGACAAAGGGCAGGGTTTATCCACCCGCCCAAATTCTATACATGGAAGCAGAGCCGACAAGCAACTTCAGGTGTGCTACCCCACCTGAGGGATGCTTGGGAAAGAAACAGGTCTTTCTGAGTCAAGACAGAGTCCCCCCCCCCCTCTTTAGTGTGGACGTTGGTTCCCAGAAGACTCATCTAACATGACCCAGGGTGGAAAAGGCCTTCGTGGGAGTTGTCTTTCAAAATCTCATGAGGGCCATACTGCTGTCCTCATACAGCTGGCCGTACGTGAATGCCATCTTGCTGCTTCATTTGGATGATCCTTGAAGCCAGGGATGGGAACCACATGCCCCCTGGATCGCATGCAGCCACCCAATGCAGCCCCATTGACAATGATAATCATGTGCCGATAAGTCAGTTCTGACTTATGCCAACACGGTCTTTGGGGTTATCTTGTTAAAGAATACACAGAAGTGGTTTTTACCATTCCCTTCCTCTAGGGGCGCTGTGGGATGGTGCAGCTTGCCCAAGGCCACCCAGGCTGGCTCTTCTCCCAAGAGGCACATGGGGGAAGTTGAACTCCCAACCTCTGGTTCCTCAGCCAAATATCTAAAACGCTGAATTGGTGGAGTCCTCCTGCCCCCTCCCCGATAACAGGGGGAACTGAGATCTAAAAATGAACAATTTGCCCTCTATTTCATGGCGTGCACCTTTTTGAGCACAATATACCATTTACAGTATTGTTTTCAACACTTGAAAGGGCTGTGACTTGCTAAGATCCTGCTCCAATCCGAACGAAAGGGTCACCCTCCAGGGCCCTGTTTTTCTGGGAACAGGAACTGAGGTGGAGGCTTAAGAGATGCCAATTAGGAACGATGAGATCGAGCGAAGGGAAAACTTCCTCTATTCTCTTCTTGAACTATACAAGAGCCGATGCTTAGTTCAGTCAGAATTGTACAAATTGCCTGTTCTGGATGGCAGCTTCCAAAATTGACTCCCGGGCTCTCTGGCTACAGAGAGGAACCCAGCTCTCTACCTACCTGGACGTGAGGAGGAGCGCTGAGGACATATATGACCGCATTGGCCAGATCTTCAGCTTTTAGACACTGGGGAAAAAAGAGGAAAAAGCAAAGTATTACAGATTAGTTTGAGGCTAGAGGGTGGCCATGAGGACAGAGGTTCAAGCTTCAAGATACTGTGTGGTGGTTCCTGACCTCAGGTCCCCAGATATTCTTGGACTACAACTCCCAGAAGCCTTCACCACTTGCTGTGCTGGCCAGGATTTCCAGGAGTTGTAATCCAAGAACATCTGGGTTACCCAAGGATGGGAACCCCTAGTCCTACCGGTCTACTCTCAGGCCTTCTCCTGACATTCCCACAACTCACCTCTTGTTTCCAGTTCGAGATTTTAGCTTTCCCCCCACAAAAGCAACTGGGCCGACGACTGTCCGGCTTTTCCATCAACGGGCAGGGGCAGCCCAAGATGTTTTAATCATGCCATCCAGGGGCCATCAAGTCAATTCTGACTTATGGCAACTCTTTTCATCATTTTCCAGGTAGAGAATACTCAGGAGTGGTTCACCATTCCCTTCTTCTGGGGGTAGCTCTGGGACTCTGCCGCTTGCCCAAGGCTACCCAGGCTGGCAGATTAATTCAGGGGTGCAGAACAGATGCACATATATGCCTGCGTATGTGAACCCACACACCCACGCAGCTCTGCCTTTCCAAAAACCTTCATCCCCTCTCCTCTTCCACCAGCACCCAAAATCCACAGACTCCACGGCCTACCATAATGCTTTCATACGTTGCTGCCGCCTGCTCTGGATCGTTATCGTGGAGTTTAAAAGCAAATCCAGTTTCTACCAGTCCTGGAGATATACACTAAGAAAAGAAAAGAGGAAGGGGACAGAAAAAGAAGAAAAGAATTAAAACACTATCCTAGGAGAATTAGCAACTCTTTCCCCCATTACAATGCCAACAAAGTAACCTTTGCTCCGTCATCATCACATCATCATTAGTGCAAAAGCAGGGAAATGCCAGGGGAATATCCCAACCACAATAGTTGCTTCAAACAGGCAAAGATGTACTGAAATGATCATGTCTGGACACAGGAGAGGGCCTTCTCTGTTGCTCCTCCCAGACTGTGGAACTCCCTCCCACTGGAGGCCAGCCAGGCCCTAACTCTGCTGTCCTTTGGCAAGCAGGCCAAGACCTTTCCCTTCAGGGAGGCTCTTAAATGGATCGTTGTGCCTTACTGCTTCAAACGTGTTGCTTTTGTTTACCATTTTCTGGTGTAGAATTCATGCAATCCTTTTTAGTTATTTGTATACTCATTTTTTAAAGTTTTTAAATATTGTCTTTTCATGGTCAATTTTTATCTACTATTAACTGGTTGGAATGGCTATCCAGAAGGATAACCAGGGAAGCGTCCTCTATAGCCCCAGCTTTGCCTGATTCCTTTTTAACCAAAAGAGGCCAGATGTTGACCGTGGGAGCAGCTCACCCTGCAACACGGGTGGTCAGAGCTGTGAATCCCTCCCACCAGCGGGACTCACCGTGGCTCGTATATGCGTCCTGGCTTCTCTGAGTTCTTGCCGTAACCCTTCGGTCAACGCCGTGACCGCGTATTTGGTAGCACTGTAAAAATGCACGACGGACTGAGGGACCACACTGTGGCCATTCATGCTGGGAAGGAGCAGGGGAGCAAAAAGAGCCAGAAGCGAACAAGTGAAAAAAACTGGATACAGATGGGGGGGTTAATTATTAAAAAGAAACCTACTTTTATTGAATATTGGATCTGCTTCTAAGGAATGTCTTGAATCCACTCTTAAATGTTTTTAAATGTTTTAATCTACAGTAGATTATCTGTAATACCCCCATATCTGTAGGGAATTGGTTCCAAGCCCCTCCTGTAGATGTGGATAATAGCACATAAGATGATAAAAGAAAAAAAAATACAGAATTTCCCCCATGTATTACCAGAATTAGCCACTAGAGGGTGCAATGTATTCTTCAACAACAAAATGTTGTTATATTCTTCAACAACAAAAACACAACATGGTCTGTGCCTCCCTTTAGTGGCCGATTCTGGGAAATATATTGAGAATATATGTATTTCTCATTTTCTTCTTTTAATATTTTCAGACTACAGATAAGAGAAACCACAGATACCGATTCTGCAGATACGGGGGTGCTACTGTGTAGACATTCATATAGGGAGCTTTGCTGGGGAGAAAAGCAGTAGACAGCTGCACGCAAACAAACAAACCATTTAGGACATGAGCCCCAGCAAAACTAACTTCTGATGTTACCGCCTCCCCACCAGCCCTTTCGGACTACAACACCCATCTTCCCCACCTAGCACGCACCCCATCAGATCTCCCACCTGTTAAAGCAGTAGACAGCTGCTCGCAAACAAACAAACCATTTAGGACATGAGCCCCAGCAAAACTAACTTCTGATGTTACCGCCTCCCCACCAGCCCTTTCGGACTACAACACCCATCTTCCCCACCTAGCACGCACCCCCCCCTCCAGATCTCCCACCTGTTGATGTTAATGATATGGCCATCATCGACGTTTCTCTCTTTCATAGACTGGTAAGCTTCCCGTGTGCAGATGCTGACCGCCATCACGTTGACCTGAAAAAGCAGACGGGGAGAGCTGTTTACAGGCACAGCGATCAGAGCTTGGAAAAGTTTTTCCTTTCTTTTTTTAAAGGACTACATCACTCATAATCCTTTAGCCAGTATGACATTTCACGCCTTTGGGGAAATGTTAGCTTGGTGTGATGAAAGTTGCAGCTTCCCCACACACACACCTTCCTCCTTAAAAGGGCCTGAGGCAGCTTCCACCAAAGAACAATACAGTATTTAAAAGCTGAAAGCAACAAGCATGCAAATATTTTAAAATAATTAAACAAAGATTATATCTTGGTGTGATGAAAGTTGCAGCTTCCCCACACACACACCTTCCTCCTTTAAAGGGCCTGAGGCAGCTTCCACCAAAGGACAATATTTAAAAGCTGAAAGCAACAAGCAAGTGTCCAAAGATCAACGCAGAGTCCATAAAAACAGTAAATAAATTCAATACTAAAAGCACAAAGTTATCTGAGATGGCTTGTTTGAAGCATGCTAATCCCTTAAAAATAAAGTTTCATGGCCACGGGGGGGCAGGGCGGAGGACAGCGTCCAAAGGTCAACGCAGAGTCCGGCCAAGGAAGTGTTCAAAGGGGACGGGTGCAAACAAATAGCCCCATTGCCCAGGGCTGGGAGTGCCCCTGCCGGAGCCGGGAAGACCCAGGCGGAAAAGTACTTTGCCCCAGAACTGTTTGGGCTGCCAAGTTCCAAACAAACTCTTGGCAGGGCCAAGGAGCAGGAGGAGGATGGAGGCTGTTATCCAGAGCTTCTGGAGGCCAACGGAATGGCAGCTTGCATCAACCCCAAGCAAGATCACAAGGAGTGGTTGGGGACAACGGGAGTTCTAGTGCACTGGGGGCAATCATCGTCATCAAGAAATTGAGAATGGCATTTCTAGACTCCTCAAAGGGAAGGCACAGTTCTTCTTTAAAGGAAGAACTGCTCAGTGGTTTAGCTCTCTGACTGCGGAGGCAGCGGTTGGGAGTTCAGTTCCCCACTGTGCCTCATAGGATCTGAATGCTGCAACCCCCAAGATTCCCAATGCCACTACACTCCTGAATGCAGAGGACAAAACAAGGGCCTCCCACCCCTTGTGGATCTTCCCAAAACATCTGGCTGACCAAAAGGTCCTGGGATAAGAAGGCCTCCTTGGGTTTGTCCCACCCTGCACCCTCCATTTCTCTCAGAATTAGACTCGTTTGGATCCAGGGAGGGAATGGGGCACCAGCACTGTGTCTTCTGAACCTTCTTGGTGCAGAAGTCAGAACAGCAGTGGTGCAGAGCAGGGCAGGGGGAGGGGGAGGGGGTAACCCTCCCAACCCTTCCATGCCTTGACCTCCTGTGACATCACAACCCAACCCTCTAACATCATAAGGATCCACCTCTTGGCCTCAGGTTTTGGCCCCTAAATCACATGTAATGGGGATGCTGTTCTGCTGGCTTTAGCCATAAAATCTCTTTGCAAATCCTGCTGCCTTATTGGTCCCCCACGTCGTCGGCCTTGGATCCATTTGGATCTAATCACAAATCCCGGTCTTCTCTACTCACATCAATCATGGTCCTCCAACCCTCCGTCTTGCCGGACAGCAAGGGTTCTGGCCGCGCCAAGCCGGCGTTGTTGATGCACACGTCCACACCTTGGTGGAGGGTCTTGATGGCAGAGAACATGGAGAGGATTTCCTCCTCGACCGAAAGGTCACACTTGTAGGGGATGAGGACGCCCAGATAACCAGCGCTCTGGCACTCCGCTGCCAATTTCTAGAACAGAACAAGAGAAAAGAGGAAACGGAGAAGGTCAAGATCGAAACCGGCCAGGATCGGAAGCCCGCAGGGGAGGATCGTGACCTTCCTGCTATAAGAGAAGAACGAGGCAAGATAAAATTCAGTGGCAGCTGGGTAGATGGGATGTGTAGTCTCCAGAAAATGAATTATGGGAATTGTAGCCCCTAAAATAAAGAACTGTGGGGGTTGTAAAGAATTATGGGATATGTAGTCCCTTCCAAAAAGCAATTTTCCCCAAGCTCTAATTAAAGCTGGTCATTCTCAGAAAGTGCTCTGAAAGAGGATCTAAGAAAGAAGAAAACTTTGAAAATAGCTGCCCCTTCTTCTTTCCTTTATGGTCTGCTCAAGTCACACATCAGACTGCCCTATCTCTGCCCCACGTCAAGATTTCAAATATTTGTCAGAGACGGCCACCGTGGGGCTCAGAAATCTTCCATTCTGGCTTCCAGCTGGCGCAGAGGAGCCAGAAGCCCTTCTCCTCAGAGATGTGAGGCAAGTTTACAGTGCGAGAGTTTTCTGCGAGCCCTAACTCTCCACTAGCACCGTCTTGCCCAAACTGTCCTCCCTCTCGCCCAGAATACAGTCAATAATAGAAGGAGGGGCAGAGGTGCGGCGGAACAGAAAAACGGAGCTGTGCCCACAGGATTTAGGAGTAACTAACACATAGCAAATACATCATCCTCTCCAGCCAGCACAGCTCATAGTGAGGAACGATCAGTGTTACAATCTGGAGAATTATATAATTCCCACCCATGCTACTGGGCAGACTCAGATATGGTAACTTTCCTTCTCAAGGAAGTAGCTATGACGTTCAATCACTTCTCCTGCATGGTGACCTGAACCTCACACAGTATCCCAGACGTGGTCACTCTGCAGATGTGTATAATCAAGGGGGTTCACCTGGATGATCTCAAAGGGACCTCTGAATAACAATAATAATTTATTGTCATTGTAAGTATATACACAGTATACCCATACAATGAAATTCACAATACCGGGTGCAAGCAGGCACAAATAATGTTCCTAAATCTCTTTATGGCTATCTCTTTGGCCATGGGATGTTAAAAGGTTTTCCCTGTTTTCTCTGAATAAGCAATAATTAATTTTAAAAAAATAGAAACCGTGCCGATCAATCACGATGTTGGTTGTAAGAACCGATCTGTAGTACCACTAGGTCAGGAGAATTACGGGAGATATTCCCTCAAGAGCATTTAATCCGGCACTTTTGGGATGGCAAGTGTTCTGGCAGAGCATCAGCAAAGCACTCTGAGGCAAAACTGGAGATTAAAGTTCCCACCGTTCAGCCCTGTCAAGATGGAATTGATTCGGGTGGCAGGATAGCTAAGGGTAAAATGGTACACAAACACACACACACTCAAATCAACTCACTTTCCATCCTGATCAATTAAGAGCAAACCAACTCAGAACCCGGGAAGAAGTCTCGCTTTGTATTACAATTCCCAGACTCCACTAACCACGTTGGGATTTGTAATCCCACAAGCACTTTTTTCCCCATCTCTGGCTTTCGACGGTCACGGACGCCTTTCATTTTGATGTCCGTGCTATATTTTAATTGCCATTTTGAAAAGAATTAAGTTAAGCAACCTGCCCGCTTGAAGACTCACCTCCAGAAAAGGTGGGATGTAAACAGAGTGAGCTTCGACATGAATAAATGTTAAATGTTAAAAAGCACTCAATAGGACCAGTACAAAAAGCAGAGAACTTGTGATCATGATCAATCAATGCCACTGACTGCTTTAGTTAAAACAAAACACAGCCGTCGCAAAGTCAAATGCAACAAGAGTCTAGAGACAGTGAAAAATTCAACATATTTTGTTTGTCAAGGGGTTTCATGGAGTGCACTACAAGGGTAGCTCAGTGAGTTCGGCACCTGGCTGCGAAGCGAGAGGTTGGGAGTTCGATTCCCCCACTGGGCCTCCTGGGAGAAGAGCCAGCCTGGGTAGCCGTGGGCAAGCTGCACAGTCCCAAAGGGTCTGCAGAGAAAGGAAATGGTAAACCACTTCTGAGCTGGTTGGATAACTTGGTAATTTAGTTATCTGGCTGAGGAAGCCACAGGTTGGGAGTTCGATCCCTCCACTGTGCCTCATGCGAAGTATAGCCAGCCTGGGTGGCCTTGGGCGAGCTGCACAGTCCCAGGACACCCCAGAAGAAGGGAATGGGGAATGATTTCTGAGTATTCTCTGCCTAGAAAACCCTGAAAAGGGGCGCTATAACTCAGCATGGACTTGATGGCACACGATTACAGTATTACTATTCTTTTTTAATGGCCTGCTGGAAAGCATATCTGACAAAGGGAGCTGCTGGCGACGAAACCAGATGCCAAATACCACGGTGTCAAATCATTGTTCATTGCGACTCATAGGTTATCCTGCAGACCTTTGATTAGGATTGGATACAAATGAAACCACTGTTGTTTTTTAAACAGAGGAATGTAACTCTGGTCTAGAAATCTTTGACCTTGGTTAAAACCATAACTATTGAGGTGGGTTT